TTGAATCGTGGTGGTTTCAGATCCATTTTGAAGACTGCGCCATGTAATGTCATAGGCTGGGTGTTGTGGGATTGATTTATACATAAACCCAGTACTACTATTTACAAGTATATTTACACTTTATATACAGTATTATTTACATACGACATCAACGATATTCGTTATTGAGTCTCATTTATTATAGTTTATATTTTATATTATTTATTGGACTCTCTAAAAGCTTCGACCTTACGAGCTATTCGCATATCGAGATTCACGCCACGCGCGGGAATGTCGTCCTTCACTTGTCACTTGTCATGTCACGGACATGAACACCTAAAACACTTACAGTGTTGCCAACATCATATGGCAATCACACTACAGTTCCGAAAAATGAGTCAATAATAACGTCTCCGAGAAAGAAGTGCAAGTCCTTCTATCTTCCACTCGACTTCGCGGTTACCTATATTACTAAACAACCACTAAATTCGAAATTTTTTGAAATCATATCACAGAATTAGACTGACAGAAGTGACATCAGATATTTGATTGCTTCAAAAGCATGATAGAGATGCCTACAACGCATGTGTAATAATGTGATATTGTCACGAGTGGCTCTAACGCCCACTATCGCAACTCGGACTTACTCGCTTGCAAGAGGTTTTTTTGAAAATGATAACTAAATAAATTAACTCCACTTCACAAGTTTATTCATTCTGAATACAAACAATTAGGGCATGAAATGAATTGACCATTAATTATCCAGCAAGATACATCCACTTAAATCGAAACAAAACAGGAAAACTAAAACAAGTAATACTCAAAAAAGGTAGGTACTTACAGAAGGGCTCGCTTTTCATTAGAGGATTGGAACTGCCACTCACGAAGTTCAGACATGATGCAAATATGTTTGAGATTTGAAAGATTTGAAAAGACTACGGTCCACTGTCCGAACCACAACTGCCGGTTTTTTCTCTAATACCTTTTCATCTTGGTTTTGGTAGTGGTAATTGATTCAGCATAAAAACTAGTGTATTCACCTCGATTAGGAAAAATCCAAAACCAGCAGTTTCTGCCCGTCAGCGACTTTACTTGAATAATAATAAAATTGAAATCCGAACTATAATTTCCTTTGAATATCGTAATTCTCTACTGATATCCTGTAAGCTAAATAATTCTAAGAATATGATCTAGACTAGGTTATTGTACTGTTCTTGAATGAAATGAGAATTTCAAATATTCTCAATAAAATTATAGTTTTTATCCATTCTTGACACATTTCCTCCACCTCTGAAAGCGGGCCCCTCGCTTTATGAAAACCTAGGAATCTCAAAATCCCCATTCATACCTAGAAGTGAAAGATAAAAAAACTTATGATCAATAAAACATAGTTGTCAAGTTTTAGAAACAAAGTATGTATCTACCTATCCTGAAGAAAACTTATCATTGAAAAAAATTGAAAACAAATTAAAATCAAATTTACTAGAATACCACTGATGAACCTAAAATATAATGAAGAAAATTATTCAAAAAACATCGAACTCATAGAAATTAAAGTTCTAATGTCCAACTAAGAATGAGTCCAACACAACATTTGGCAAAAACTTTGTCACTGGCACTAATAATTCATTATTCCGAATACGGTCCTGTTCACTATCAACCTGGGTTTTCCATCAATATGACGAGCAACTAGGGCTTGCTCTCACGCTCACTGTGTCGTCAGGTGTCGTCGTGTAGTCTGCTGGGTAGAGTATACACTAGTATACAGGATACGCTCACGGCCTGGCCACCACCGACCACAGGGATGGTGGTTAGAAGTCTTGGTTAAGGAGTGGTTTCATAGAGAATTCCTGAATCATACCTGGATTTGAAAGAAATGTTCTTATATCGTTTGAGTAAATCGAATACAATACAAGATTAAAGAAGAATAAATTGCAAATGAGTTAATACTTTATATTATATAAAATAATGAATTTGTGACAACACGTTATCAGTTTTGTCTAGTAAGCTGCAAAATAAAGTCGTGGAATAAATCCTGGACCTAGCCCAACACTAGGGTTCACTGAAACTAGTATCGCGATAAAATGTATAGGCCACGACGTTATTGCGTTTCGCATTTATTAGAAAGCTGTTTGATTACTTGACGGAGAAATATTTCGAACTTTTCAGATATTTCGACCCCAAATTTCCGGATTATATGGATGATTTTTCCAAATAATGGTGAGTTCAGCTCCGCAGAATTTGAAGAAATATTCACTTATTCAAATAAATGACGTGTCGTAAAAAATATATCGGTGAATTCGGACTAAAATTATTCGGGGTGCACGTGTTTAATCAATATTTTGTCGAATTTAGCGCCAAAAATTATTTGGAAATGCTTCCTCATTTCCACTGTTTCATGTTTTCATTCGACATAAGGCCATCAGAGTTACAAGAGAAATTTCAAGTAATCGCAAAAATTTTAATCAGAATTAACTAGTGAGTATTCAAAAAAGAGAAGAAGAAGATATATATAGAAAGATGCAAAATATAGGAAAATGCACGTAAAAAAATAGAAACATCATGAAATACCCCTATAGTTGAATGACCGATGATTCTATTAATCACTTTGCGCCTATATTTGAAATCTAAAAAAATATTTGAGGTCATTTTGTTTCGATTTGGAATTGGTGTGGAGTATCTCGCTGTTGATCGAATTGCAACACATAAAAACTTACTTCAACTAAAATCAGGTTAATTAGGAAGAATTAACATTCAAGAAAGAGCAGGGCGCCTCCACCATAATGTCACGAGTGGCTCTAACGCCCACTATCGCAACTCGGACTTACTCGCTTGCAAGAGGTTTTTTTGAAAATGATAACTAAATAAATTAACTCCACTTCACAAGTTTATTCATTCTGAATACAAACAATTAGGGCATGAAATGAATTGACCATTAATTATCCAGCAAGATACATCCACTCAAATCGAAACAAAACAGGAAAACTAAAACAAGTAATACTCAAAAAAGGTAGGTACTTACAGAAGGGCTCGCTTTTCATTAGAGGATTGGAACTGCCACTCACGAAGTTCAGACATGATGCAAATATGTTTGAGATTTGAAAGATTTGAAAAGACTTTACGGTCCACTGTCCGAACCACAACTGCCGGTTTTTTCTCTAATACCTTTTCATCTTGGTTTTGGTAGTGGTAATTGATTCAGCATAAAAACTAGTGTATTCACCTCGATTAGGAAAAATCCAAAACCAGCAGTTTCTGCCCGTCAGCGACTTTACTTGAATAATAATAAAATTGAAATCCGAACTATAATTTCCTTTGAATATCGTAATTCTCTACTGATATCCTGTAAGCTAAATAATTCTAAGAATATGATCTAGACTAGGTTATTGTACTGTTCTTGAATGAAATGAGAATTTCAAATATTCTCAATAAAATTATAGTTTTTATCCATTCTTGACAATATCTTCTCAATATTGCTTCGTCCTTCCTTCTGTCACAGAAAAAAAAGTGTATTATACACGGGAAAATATTAGATTTTGGCTCACGGTTTTTTGTCTCTCTCCGCTACGCGAGGACAACCTGGAGCTAAAATCTACTTCTTTTTTCCCTTGTATAATAAATAACTATTATTCTATAAGAAAAAAAAAGTAGATTTCAGCTCCAAGTTGGGAAGCGGAGGGAGACAATAAATCGTGAGCCAAAATCCAACATTGTTCCCATATATAATAAGACAAGGTATTCTCACAAACTGTAGGCGGGGGTTGCCTAAGTTATGTTCTAGATCTTAACTTACCCTATATGTACAAATGAACGAATATTCCTGTGAGGAAGGGCATCTTCTGTTCTGCCCGAACTCCGAAGATTCGAGTACAGTGGCAACTTTACAAACTCACAATCGGTAGAACTTAGGCTTCCCTAACTCGTATAACAAAAACAGAGCTAGAACTTGAACTGTCAGTCGAACTGGCAGTCCAACTCGCAGTCGAACTGGTAGTCGAACTGTCGAACCGGTAGTCGAACTGTCGAACCGGTAGTCGAACTGTCGAACCCGCTTCCTTACGTCTTTTAAATAGTTGTCTATATTTTCGGAAACGTGACAGTGAAGATATCAGGTCGATAGTCCAGGTTCGTTCGCCTGTGTTTATGTTCAACTACTGTGAAAAAAAATTCGTTCACGATTCGAAAATTTTGGAATTAATAAAAGACGTGACCGTTCAATGACTTCAAACCCTTTGTGAATTTAAATGAAATTTAAGAAAATAACCCTATTGGTGACAGTATTAAGATATTACATTATATTAATATCAGAAAATTATCAACGTGATATTTGATGTTTTTAACAGTAATGACCCTGCGTTGTAGGCATCTTTTTATAGCATTTTCATAATTCTCTTGAAACAATCAAATATTTGTTAGTCTGTGATTCTATTCTCAAAAATTGCGAATTTAGTGGTTGTTTAGTAATATACGTAACCGCGAAGTCGGATGGAAGATAAAAGGACCTGCACCTCTTTCTCGGAGACGGTGTTATTGGCTTATTTTTCGGAACTATGGCACAACAAAAGCCATCAACATTGTATGTATCCGGGAAAAAAATACTCACTTTTTTCCGTGGGAAAAAAGTAATCTATGAGAAGCGGCATTTTATAACCTGTCAAGAGAGATGAAATTTTGAACTTTTTTCCCGTCACTGAAAAAAAATTCAAGAATATGTTGACTGAGCGAACCCAACTTATTTTACAGTAATCTAACTATTCTAGCAACGGAGCCACTTCTGTTTCAAACACACTGTATATCACTATACAGAGTGAAAAGTATGTAGGGCGTTGTCGATAGAAACACTTTAAGTGAAGGTTCAGATAAAACTCGAATCATCAAGCACTGTAACCATATATTATGAACATGTTGCGTGGTAATAACTCCGCAAGTATACAACTTTGACATACAATGTTCTGGGGTTTTAATTGGCCAGTCAACTACGTTTTGTCATTTATTTTTCAATACTTTCATGTTTTTTTTAGGTGGTGGAGAATTTGGAGATGTATGCCGAGGAAAACTGAAGATGAACGGTGTTGACATAGATGTTGCTATAAAAACACTAAAAGCAGGTTCTTTGGATAAATCCCGTAACGATTTCCTAACTGAGGCTTCTATAATGGGCCAATTCGAACATCCAAATGTTATTTTCCTGCAAGGAGTTGTCACGAAATCAAATCCGGTTATGATTATAACCGAATATATGGAGAATGGGTCACTGGACACATTCTTAAGGGTGAGTAGTATCGTGTTTATGCCGGCAGGAGGAGAAGTCAGTTTCTCCGGTAACAAAAGAGGGACAGAAGTGGCATAATATTCTCTAGGGAGATATTGTAACCCTCCTAGGGAGGTTATAACAAAATTCCATTTTCCGTATAGCTCTGCGATTTCTTTTCGGATTACCATTCTCTGAAGAGATTAAGTTGCATCATACAGTTTTATGGATTTCACTGGTAGCAAGTTGAGAATCACTGTAGAAGCAGAATCAACGATTTCTTGAGGTTCTCCCTCGATTTCTTGTTCCATAACCATAACCGTTAATAATTTGTAAAGCAACTTTTATAAATTTCGGTTTGTTATTTGCTGTCTTCATGGGTTGCCAACATGATGCTTGTTGTCAAGATACGAATTCCACAAACTTCTACTAATAATTGTAAACGTATTACCTAGTATCAATGTGTTAGATCTGCTCGAATGACCTTTTTTATGTATTTATAATAATTTTCTAAATTTTTTATTATGACAACCCTTTCTTTTATGTTTTTTTACAATCCTTAAGCATATTATATGAAGTAGAGTTTTCCAAAACATACTTGAGAATAACGATAAAAAAATAAATCCACAACAATCATGACAAAATACTTTAACCAAAGTTTTATTCTTTCTTAATTTTTGTATTTTCGTCTGCCTAAAAAATAGTTTATACACCTCAGGACAGAATGCTAATTTTTCCCCCGGTGCTTTGTGAAAAATCTTGCATTCCTGTCCCTTGATGTATGATGTACTATTTTTTAGTTGAACATTCATTTATCTGTAAAGATATCAGTAGAATCATGGTATCGAATTAATTTCAGTTCAAGAACTTTCTAATGGATATTGGTCTATCAAAATTCGCCCATTTTTGTATTGCAGGAAAATATAAGAAGATATTGGAGTATTGTAGTGAAATAACGTTGTAGATTGTAGATTGTAGATGGGTCGTATAGGCTGAGAGACCTCTCGATCACTGCGACCTAGAAGATCTATTGTGATTACCCCTATCTAGTTTTGGTCCTCTAACCCTAGACTTCTGATGAAGCCTACGATTTTCCTGACGGTTGACTTTTCCAATTCAGCAGGGGTGAGATAGACCTGTTCTAGGTAGTTCAGCCTTTGGCGGACTAATACTTCACATGAGCAAAGTATGTGTTCCGCCGTTTCGGTCGCATTGTTACAAAAGTGACAAGTGTCAGTCTCCGCCGGACCCATCTTTTTGAGGTGGTACCTCAGAGGGCCGTGTCCTGTGAGGAAGCCTGTGATAAGCTTTAGGTCTGGTTTGCTGAGGCTGAGTAGCTCTTTGGCTCGGTTCTGCGAATGGTTGATGAACCTTTTCGCTTGTCGTTGACCTGGAGTTGCTCTCCAGTAGGAGGACTTTTCAATTTCTTCCCATTTCCCGAGTTCTCCCTGTAGGTGACATTTGCTTATCCCACAAAAAGGCTCAGGACCAAAAAGTGCAGATGCTGCACCTTTTTTTGCAAGGCGATCAGCTGCCTCATTTCCTTTGATTCCTTCATGCCCTGGAACCCAGGGCATGAAGGAATCAAAGGATGTGACTTTGTTGCCCTTTCCCAGTTACATGAGCGTTTCAAAGCAGTCCCATGTAATCTTTGATGTGAAAACGAATGATTTTAGGGATTTTAGTGCGGCTTGGCTATCTGAGCAGATATACAGTGAGGACGTAAAAAGTCCTCCCCCCCCTTTTACCTTTGAACGAAACAAGCTAGCTAGGTCGGGTAAAATTTAGGCAAAAAGGTACCTCTTTTACTACTATTTGGCATAAAAATGGTTGTGGTCACGTGACCTAGTATCAAGTGGGCACCATCAACTTTTTTTTTTCAAATTTAAAGAGGGGTCACGTGGTACCTTGTTTTGAAGGCCTTTAGATTCTCTATCCAACACCGCTTCGTTTGTACAAATCGGCCAAGCCGTTTCAAAATGACAAGCGTTTGAAATTTGCTTCAAATATTAATATTAATGCATAAAAAATCTGAATAAATTTCAATTGCAGCATGATTTCGAGTAGGAATTGTAACAAGTGCTCAAACATGCTCGAAATGTTCATCGTTCACTTATTGACACTGAAAAATCGGTTTTGGAATTCAATCCGAACGTGATTTACTGTTTCCCAGGTACATTTCAAACGCTTGTCATTTTGAAACGGCTTGAGTGATTTTCACACACAATGCAGAGTTGGATAGAGAATCGAAAGGCCTTCAAAACAAGGTACCACGTCACCCCTCTTCACATTTAAAAAAAAAAGTTGATGGTGCCCACTTGACACTATGTCACGTGACCACAACCATTTTCATGCCAAATAGTAGTGAAAGAAGTACCTTTTTGCCTGGATTTTACCCGACCTCGCTAGCTTGTTCCGTTCAAAGGTTAAAGGGGGAGGAGGACTTTTTACGTCCTCACTGTATATGTTGGCACCCCTCAGACCTTTGCTCAGGCACCTTTGGGCGCAAAGGTTGATGGCATGTATCTCAGCTTGGAAGATAGTGGGGGAGTGACCTAAGGCTTCAAATAGCCTACTACCGGGTCCATATACACCCGCGCCTACCCCTTCTTCCATTTTCGAACCATCGTGGTACCAAACAAGGGAACCTCTGTCCAGCTGAGGCTCAGCGGAACCGTACCTAGGGCGGCTTTTCATAACCACTTCAAAGGTGTGATCGAAACTGAGCCTGGCTGGCATTATGTCCCATGGTTTGGTAGCAGATTCCATTTGTACTTCTTGTAGAATGACCATGTGACCAGTGACATCACCTGGTCTGGCCAATTCAGTGGAGTTCAGTCTGTATGCACTGAGAGCTGCAGTCCTCTTGATAAAAATATGCAAGGGTAGTAGGTCAAGCATAGCTTCCATTGCTGCAGTAGGGCACGTACGCATAGCCACTGTGATCCCAAGACACGCTAGTCCCTGGATTTTTTGCAGCTTAAGTTGTGCTGTTTCTCCTTACTTTTGGTCCACCACACTAGAGAAGCGTATGTGACCATGGGTCTGACCTGAAATAACGTTCATTCACAAATAATGAGAAAAATGTTGTCACAGATGGTAATTATGTAATAATTATTGTTCGTTAATAATGACATCATTTCGGAATGATTATCAATGGTATAAAATACGGTGGATATGAAAAACTGGCTGAGGTTGATGATGAAAAAAAAAACAGTGATCAGTGGTGGGTGACACATTCAAAAGTTAGAGTGACATCGAATGTGATGATTCATACATAGACATTTTTTTTACTCTGAGATGAATGGGTGTATACAGTAAGATTTTAACTGGAATAAGTTCCCTATCGAGAAGGCGAATGACTTTTCTAAAAATTCGCGAGACCCGTCAACGTTCTAATGTTTTTTAACTACATTTTGCGTGCAATATGGAGAATATAAGCCTTCAGGGGTAGCTGACTTGTGACCCCTCATTATCTAATTTTATTTTGCAGTACGTTTGGGGGTTACATAAAATTGAAATATAAGTCATGGAAACCATCCATTCTCAAAGTGACCCAGTATTTTTCAACAGGAGGAAAAAACGAACTCAAAGTCGGTCGACCACAATATCCAATATAAAGATAATTCGTGTGACTATAGTTTCGGCTGTACGGCCATCTTGAGACACATTGAAAAAGTACCTAGAAAGTTAGAAGTAGTACAGGTGTTTTTCGTACTTTACATTTCTCTTAATTTTCATTACAGCATTTCCTGCGCTAGAGCCGGTTCTGTATTCATTAGCTTGACACAAGTTTTGTTCGTCTTCTTCTCATTTTTAGCATGAACAGTTTATCTTCTTCTCCATTTATTGGCAGTTCTTATCACCGTTCCGCTTGTATCTCTGTCATCAACCCAAATGTTTTTTGCATTGTTATTTGATGTTATATAATTTTCCGAATTTTCATTATCAAGTCTCTTTCAGGTGTCGAGCCCCATTTTTCATATGATTGATTGTCATTCAAAAATGTTTCATTCTGTGTTTGAAATTGTCAATATTGTCATGTCAATGTCAAATTACCACTTTCAATTTTTACATTTCTGCCTTTCCTTTCCATGGTTGGCTTGCATTCCGATGAAGCTCAATTGAGTAGATTTCAAAATAAAAATTTTCCCTTTTTCCTGATGTTGCACTTACTTATACTTTTTTTATTTTTATAATACTTTCATTTTTCACTTTGACATATGTTGCCCAAAAAAGAAATTGCCAATCCATTCGAGAAAACCAACACACATGATTAAGAACTCACCCGAAGTCATTGAATGTAAATCCAGACTCGATATTTTATATGTACTCAAAAATGCAGATTCCAAATACAAAGACCAGTATAATAAAACAAAGAAGGAATACAACCTCAAGTTGTTAGAAGGAAGGTCGAAAATGTATCATAATCGAATTTGTGAATCTGACAATAAGAACAAAACTACATGGAACATTGTCAATGTAATCAAAGGGAACCAAAATCAAGCAAACGAGATACAATTGTTAGGACCGCCTGATGAAATCGCTAATAGGATAAACGATTTCATGATAAATGTTCCACGTAAATTACTGGATCAGCTAAATGATATACATTTCTCAACCAACGTCAAATCATGTAACGAGTCTATATTCATCCAACCAGTGGACGAAAATGAAATCTTGGAAATAGTTAGGAAGTTCAAAAATAAGTCGAGTAGTGGTGATGATGAGATTCCTGTGAGTGTAATCAAATCTGTCATCCTAGATATCATAGAACCCATAAAACATTCATTGTAAACAACTCACTAAGACACGGTATTTATCCAGAAAATTTGAAATTGGCATTAGTGAAACCATTGTACAAGACGGGAGATCCATCTGATATTGAAAATTATAGACCTATAAGTTTGCTGTCATCCTTCTCAAAAATTTTCGAAAAAGTCATGTGTAACAGATTGATGTCTTGGTTCCAAAGGAATGATTTTCTGACTTGCCATCAACACGGCTACCAAAAGGGAAAA